CAACCCCCCCCCCCCCCCCCCCCCCATTGCTGCTGTAAGCACTTACCATATTTGATGCCTCTTGCTGCGATCATCTTCTTCCTTCCACTCATTTGCGACAGTCCTACTGCGCATGCACCCGCACACTTCTTCACAGACGTTCGGGAGCTCGGAGTGCTTCAGCCAGGAGCAAGCAGTGCTGAAACAGGTAACTAATTAGGTATTTGCCTACTTTTTTATTTTTAATCATGGGGCATATACCTACTGCTTGCTAGCAGTAGGTATATGCCAAAAAAGAAGATACTTTAATTGTACTGTAAATATGTTGGCATATGTCCAAGGATAGCCTCTGGCATGGGAACCAGTCGGCCATGTTTACGACCTTGTAATGATCTACCTTTATCCTGCCATCCGCTCATCACATCACTCTCAGTATGGCACTGATTACCATCCACTGTGACATATAGTCAGAAACCTACCTGGAATGGGTTAAGCAGATAAACTCTACTGGTACGAAACGGAAGCGAAAATAATTTCTTTACAGGTCTCTGCTTCCATAATCTTAATTATTTTTTTTATGGTTTGAAAAATGCCCCAGATCTTATCTCTGCTCTTATAACCTGGACTTCAAAAAGGTTCAAAATGGACCAGAATAATAATTGACTAAACACAGGTACCCCCAGGGCTGTTTTGGGAAGCTTTTAAATGAATCAGGTCAGGAGAAGGGCTTGAAACAGGTTTCCTGTGTATGGTTCTGTGATAGCAAGTCAAGTTTCCATACTGAGCAGGTAGTTACCTCCATTAACCCACAGTGCACCAAGACAAAGGCCAGTAACGGAGCGTTATAAATTCCAGGAAATAGGTCATTGGGAATTGCCTGCAGAAACTTATATCTGTGAAATAAACAGCAAATCTCAGCTTAGAGCAAACAATAAAAAAGGGAAAAAATAAAACGGGCACAGAGTTATTTGCATGCATTAAGATGCAGCATATGGATTCATCTGAAGACAAATAATCTCAGTTGTCCCCAATGTCTACTGGTAACCTGACTTGCTGTAGGAGTATAACAATGCCTCTTTCCTGGTGCTGAGATGCTAAAAAGAACAAAGCTTTCCATACTGTAAATCATGACCATATCGCGACTGTTAGGAGGTCTGATATTGGGACCGCAGCATGTTGCTGCTATTGTTTGTAGGCAGCCTTTGCACTGGAGGCCCCCCAGTGTTTCCCAATGAATGAGACATATTCAGAAAAAAAAAACACTGGATGGGGGCCACATGATGTGCTAAAAAAAAGAGCTAACTCCATTCTGGGTTTTTTCTGTACACTACTTAAAAAATGTATTTATTTTTTTTACTGTTTACTGTTCAGATTTACAGCTTGCGCCCAGCAAGTGAGATGCTGAGAGCAGTTTGTATTCTGTGAAGGCATCTGTCTTATTGCAAGTGCCAGACAGCAGTGTGAATTGGGGAGGTGCACATCCTCCTTTCTCCCTGCTATCAGAGACGGAAATGTCTCCGTTATCCTGCAAAGGCTGCCAAAAAAGCATGCAGGGAGCGCTTTTCTCTAATTGGAAAGACCAGCATACTTTGCAAAGTGAGTGTCATGGATCCATTCCATTACCACAAAGTTCTGTATCATCCAGAGAAATTATTCTTTAGGCTTTTCAGCAGTGCTTCTTGGTAGAATTGCAACCTCTTGTCTCAGGATTTTGCATATTTTGGAGAGAAAGGGATGAGAGAAAAAGAGAGAGGGATGAGAGAGAGAACACAAAAGAACGAACGAGAACACATTTCTGCAGATTCAAACTCTAGGCCAGTTATTATTCTTGGGGGTTTAGATAGAAGCAAGCAAGGGAAACAAAACAACTAGCATGTTCCTCAAGCACGTTCAAAGGGTAATACATGTTTGTTTGACTAGAGTCTACTTTTGAAGAAATTCTACGCTCATCCATGTCTTTATGGACTTTGCTTTGTGCACTGGTGCGCAGTCTACTTTTAAAGAAATTCTGCCAGAGAGAACATGTGGGGGCTTCCACTGATGACCCCCTTGTAAACAAAAAAACAGTTGCCTTGCTGTCTTTGGCATGAATGTATATATGATTTATTAATGTATTTAATATTCTATTGCTATGACCTGAGCTTTACTCCTTTGGATGGCTGGAGGCTGCCAAGTAGGGCGCTGCCTCCTTTAATTTCTATTGATAAGTTGTACTCCTCTACATGGCTGGAGGCTCATTCATAGGTAGATGAGGTAGCATGTGAGCATAGTAGGAAGAGGGCCTGGCGTGGCTGGAACATATCCCTGCAAAGGCTGTTTACACAGTATAGATTGCTATTATGGGGAGGAAGGTAAGTATTTTCCAGGCAGTCTGCACTCAGGGATGTGAGGGCCACATTTTAGGGTAAATGTACTACAGGTACAGTTGTCCTTTTTAAAAATTCATTATATTGCTTGTGTATTCACTGTATGTCAGAAAGACAGATAATGGGCACTTGCATCCACGGAACACTGTATGTAGAGTTTATAGATGGGGTCATTTCTATTGTACCTTCCCTCTCCAATAACTGGCTCTTTAGTAAAGAATTGTGTTTGGACCTTGTAAAAGAGATCTTTGCTCGGGTGATGAGTTAACCCTTCTTGTTCAATAATTTTTGTTTCTTGGTAGCCGGGTAGACCAGTTGAAGTACGACGTGCAACATTTACAGACCGCGCTAAGGAACTTTCAGCATCGGCGCTATGCCAGAGATCAACAGGAGAAGGAGCGCAAGGAGCTGCTGACACGGAGTTACACCACCAATGTAAGTTTTACTCTCATAACACATTAAACTGCTTACATTTATCCATACCGCTGACATATAGAATATTGACTAGTGCCACCTCTCAGCTGCATCTAGGGTCAGTGTAAGCAAAAGATAGGCCCAGGACAAATAATACAAGGGTGCCCATGCTCCCCCTTCCCGATTCCTAACACCCCCATTTCCTAAAACAACAGAACCCCCACCTTTCCCAACCAACCTGGATTCCATGGGCTTAGCCTGCTATGCCCTGTATAAGCCGCACTGCTTGTCACCGTCATTGATGCAGTGGGATCTTTCCTATCAAACTCCATCTACATAGGCAGAGTTAGAGAGAAAGGGTCCCACTGCCCTGTTTACAGTGATGAGCATCTGGATTCCAGGACTGTTGGGGGGTTCCCCGCCCCCCCCCCCCTCCTAACCTGGTGGGCCCAGTGCTACAATCATGGGCGCCCCGAGTCCGGGTGTCACCTGGAGCGGTTACCGGGTGACACCCCGCTGTGACGTCATCCCACATCTTCTTGTAGAATCTCTTGGTGGAAAGGGACCTCTTCCTTCACTCTATCCATAATTATTGGGGTTTATGCTTCTGATGTCCAAGGCTACCATTTTTAGTTCCATAGTCCTTGTTCCTTCATGGTGTATGCAGAAACTGCATTGGGACCTATTACCTTACACATCTCTGCTGTCCAATCAGTACTGCTTTTATCTTTGCCTGCACTGAAGATAATACTGTTTGCAAAAAAACAATCAAGCAGAGGTTACTAATTGAACGTATGAACTTGTCTGTAGCCCATGCTTGTTTCCCAGTGTAAGAGCTGCACACAGTCTGTTATTAAACCATGAAGTTCCGTCACCTAGCTCTGAGAAGGAGAGGGCACAATAGGTAGACAGTGGTTGTTTTAGTGATAAAGGATTTTTCGTATTTTGGATATGTCACGTTAAGCCCAGATATTGCTAGTCTTCCTCGGTCATGCTTTCTTGTTGTTATGGCATCACTAGAAGATTAGGTTGAGGGAGTTGGATGTGATTGGCGCAGCTGTACCGGTACCTCTGCAGAGGTTACTGTGCTTTCTTATTAGCTCTCATAGGTTTACAAGTGGTGCCTAACTTCTACAACCTAACCTCCCAGAACTGTCATGACATAGGATATATGCAGAGGGGCAAGCTTTAAGTTTGTTGTCTCTGGTTTAAGATTATCCTTCACAATTGCACTAAAAACCTTCAAAATGTTTGGCAATGATTAGTTCCCTACACTTGTGTGCTAGATTTTGCTGCAGAAAACCAGATCCTTTTTTTTTTTTAATGTGCTACCAGTGCGCCGTAGACAAATGTCAGACTATGTGGTGTTATCTCAAAGAATACTCTTAAGACTGAAACCCTTAATGTTTTATATAAGTACAAATAACCGGTGCAGTCACTTACCAATCTCTCACACAGGATTCAGAGACCTCAATACACATTGATGAGACCCTCCAATTAAACTCCTCTGTCCGTAACGCTCACCAAGGCATAGACGACCTCCTGGGGAGTGGTACCAGTATACTGGATGGGCTGAGGGACCAAAGGAAGACCTTAAAGGTGGGGAATCAGTTGGCCGAGATGGGGCATTGGTTAATTGGTGGAACCAGGAAAAAGAAATTACCTACAACTGCTTATTGCATCCAGTCTGTATTTTTACTTCAAATAAGCCTGAACTGGGAGATATGACCTGTCCTTGGCATTCTAAACCTCTGGAGTTACTATATTCTGAGTCATTAACTCTGAACATGTTTGCAGATGAAGGGTTCATACTATACTTTTGACTTTGCAGGCTACATGCTTGTTCTGGGTCAGTGACTCTGAAAGTATTTATGCCAAAGATGACAAGACATCTAGGATTTTCAGTAGGAGGTCAGTATTGGCATACTCTTCATTTCTCTCACGACAGGTTTACTTTAATGAAACTCTTTCGCTTTGTCCGTTCAGGTCAAAAAGGGACGGGGTCTTTTTAACCCCTTCGTGACGGGAGACGTACAGTGTACGTCCTGTCACTTTGTGCCTATATGACTGGCCACGTACACTGTACGTGACGAGTTATATCAGGCTTTGTAATGCCGGTAACTGCTGATTCTCAGCATTTAACAGTCATTCATTAATGTCTCAGTATTGAGGCATTAATTAATGAAATAATTAAGCTTTTTGTAAAAGCTTCTTCCTTTCATTAATGAAAGAATGAAGCCGTTACATGCAAATAGAGGACCGCAATTTGCGATCCCGTATTTGACAGCTCAAAATAGCAGAGAGGCAGCAGTGACTCACCTCACCTCTCTGCTATTTGTTTTGACAGCTCCAGAGCTCGATGTTTAGATACATTTCACTCAAAAGATACAATGTATATCTTTTGAGTGAAATGTATCAGTTCTGATCGTCTAGGCACGATCAAAGACCTTTTAGTGAGATCTGAATCTGACTAAAGTCAGGATCAGTCTCTAAGGTTATTATTAGCTGTTCCTAAGTTTGGATCAGCCTAATAGCCAAAAATAAAATAAAAAAGTTAATTTATCAAGCTGTCATAGTGATTGCTTGATATAAACTGACAAGAAAAAAAAAAGTTTTTTTATTTTATTTTTATTTTTTTTACAAAGTGTAAAAAAATTAAAATAAAGTGTAAAACAAAATTAGGAAAATATAAATTATATATAAATATATTTTTTATACTATAATTAATATAAAAAATTTCTAAAAAAAAAAAATAATAATCAAAACTTGTGAAAAAAGTGTTTTCTTCTAGTTTTTTTCCTCATTTTTTTTATTTTATTCAAACTAAGTGAGGGGTTAGGTACACATATGTGATATAATTATATAGCCCTATCTGTCCTCTAAAAAACTATATATAATATGTGTGGGTACATTTAGTAAGAAAGTATATTACTGCTGTGGAAGAATCACACAGCAAAAATGTAAAAAATGTGTCAGTCATTTATGAACAGAACCTGAAAACTAGCTCAGTCATGAAGGGGTTAAAGCCCACTTCCAACCTACCTATACTGCCTTCCCCCACCCCGAGAGTCAGAACTCTGTGTAAGTTCCATGCCAAGGCTTACACAGGGCTGATTATGTACCCCCTCCATCACATGGCAGGATTGGCCAATCGGACCCAAGCACTGCATCATGGAAGACATCACATGCTCCCTCGTACCTGGGAACAGCGGGAATTTTGCAGCAGCTCCAATAGAGCAACCAATCGGTGGGGGAGAATGAGGAAGTTGAGTATAAGAGGGTCAGGGTCAGACTTTAATGGGCAGTTCTAGTAAGCAGGACTTGATGGAGTGCTAGTTCTTCCGTACATGACCCTCAAAATCCGTTTAAGGTTTTGTTCTAAACACTTGTGGAACCCATCAACCTGCTCCTCACTCTTCTGGGGTGTCAGCAAATCCTTTGATTCTTGTGTGTAAAGCACCTAGCTTATGCAGTGGGTGTCTCATGTCTATGAGTCTCACAACTGTTCAGAAGACAAACCTAAACAGAACAAGGTCATTTAACCATCCCTACTCATTGCAGATTCCCGTTTAATAACTCACTGAGTCACAATACTTCACTTTGCCAGAGAACTGCACTATGGGTTTACCTTTCTTTGCTATAGAGCCTTTAAAGTATATTTATACCCAACATTTGTTTTAGTTTTGAACACAATAGCTGAAACCCTTGTTAGGTTTTTTTTGTTATTCCTTTATTGCTGTTTATGTCCTGTTTGGTAGAATCACTGGAACAGGTGAGTGTAAATCATGGAATGGGGCCCCTTGTTCCAGTGACAACAGTCTAAAGGGGATTTCCCTTTACTTTAGAGGGCTATGCTCTTACTTACTTTGTGTTTTTCCAAACAGGAAATTAAGGGTAATCTCCCAAACAGAAAACATACAGCAAAATAAAATAAAAAAAACCTGATAGGGGTTTTAAACATCCCCTACTGTATCCAAAGCCCATCAACACAGGTCCCAATTCTGGAAAGGCACTTTTGTGATTGAGGCACCCATGTTGGACAACACAGAGATGTCTCTGACCACAGTTAGGTGATATAGCTTAGCAAGGGCCTGTCTCCAGTCTGCTAAATGGATAAGGTCATCCCTGTGTTCTCTCTTCCTGTAAGCTTGTTGTAAAAAGGGATTAAAGAAGGCTGATACAAACGCAGAGAACATGTAGATGTACTACATATATTGAAATGGAAAAAATCTTGAGTTTTGAATACATGATTGAATAGAATTGTGTTTTTAAGGATAACTCTACTTTCATCTAACCCTCCACCACCTTTCTAGCTATACTACCTTACGCTTATCTCAGGGCAGGAGGTGACCTGGTCCTGTAACCATGGTCTACCTCTTTTTTGCTTTTCATTTAGGGCCTGTGGGAAATAGGCTGTACATACAAAGTACAGATTAACCTCACCAGTTCATAGGAGGACCACACTACCCTCTGGTGTAGGCTATGCCTCCAGGGTCCAGCCACCCCTTAATCTCAGGAGGTGTAAGTTGGTATAGTTAGGATTGCAGGGTGAGGGGGTGTCATTTGGCTTAGGTTAGCTGAAAGTACAACTGCCTTTTTACAATTGTTCACAGGTCTGTCCAGCTAGAGTTGTAGCTACAAGGAACGCACACCATACGCTTTAAAAATAAAGCCTATTCATTATTGGGCACATGCTCATTAGTAAATGACCTTCAAAATGTAATTGTAAGCCCTGCTGCTCTTACCCAACTCAAATCTGTACTACACATAGGTATGTCTTTAAAGTCATCATTCATATAACTCCTTTTTATTCCCTATCCTCTCTTTCTGTCCCCCATTGTCCCATTATCTCCTCAGGGGGCCCAGAAGAAGATTCTGGATGTGGCCAACATGTTGGGTCTGTCTAACACGGTTATGCGTCTGATTGAGAAGAGAGCATTTCAAGATAAGGCCATCATGATTGGAGGCATGCTTGTTACCTGTGTGGTCATGATTCTCGTCATCAAGTATCTGACATGAAAGAGAGCCGATTCATTCAAAGCCATGGACTATCCCTCAGCCTGGTCTCTCCGCTGTCCCTCATCTGCTGTGAAACATCCCTGAAGCCACTAATGACAGAAAGGGGGAGAGGCCGTTTAGAGCCCAAACAGACTTTTAACAAAGACATTACCTGCTTCATGAACGAAAGATCTACATATTCTTTTATGTATTTAATACTGTCTCCTGTTCAACTGCACATTCGGTATTAAAAATCGTGTAGTACAGGAGTGTAAGCTTGCTGGTGAGCTGTGCATGTAATATGTAACTGTGAAAAAAATAATCAGTCTTTTTATAAACCACCCAAGTGCCCTTCACACTGCAACATCTGTGAACACTCATTTTGTGTGGATATATGCCAAAACGAATATTCCTTAGTTGTCCCTTAACAAAGCGATGTATTTTTGAATGTTTCTTTTCATGTAATATCACATTATGGCCACTAGATGTCAATGATGAGCACAAACATACTTATTTCCTTTGCTCCTTTAGCTCCATCTACTGGCCATAATGTGATATTACATGAAAACATTCAAAAGTTAATTGCACTTGTGAATACAATAACTAAAGAACCTTTGTTTTGTCACATATTTGCACAGAGGGAGTGTTGACCGATATTGCAACTGTGAATTGTTTATAAATAGATCCCTAAGTGTGTTTCCTGCACAAACGTGATATGAAGCATGATGCCTGCACATTACTTAGTAAGCTTGAACTTGAAATAAAAACACATATCTGATGCTAGGTGCACTGTAAAGTGTATATTGGGGCTAACAAAAACATGCAGTGCATCTCTGCAATGCATGCACAAATCCCCATATTTAATCCTTTTCCAGAAAAAAGTTTTATTACGTTTTCCAACAGTACAAAGATAAACAAACATTCAGACAAACATTTGCCTGTGTGTAGTCACATATGTATACATTGGTCAAATACAGCGTATAACAGTCATCAAGTTAGGCAAAACACACAAAAACAAAACATATTTAATCCTTTTAAAGACCCTGCAAGTACAAAACAATTCTTGTTGATCCTGACAGAAATGCACTCTGCTCCTAATTTCCTGTTCTGGGCTGATCACACACTGCTTTTTCTTTGCTGAAATTTCAAGGAATGGTGTCAGCCCTGACTAGTTATCATTTGTTGTCCAACAGAACCCCATGTTCTTGCCTCCGCTCCACAACATGGGGGGGTGCTTTAGTTGAAGGAAGTTGATGAGACTGCTTGGGATAACAGTGTACATAGGACAGCTCTGTATTTCTGACAGTATCAACAGGTATTGTTTTGTACGTATCAAGCAGATATTCCAAAACACTAAGTTTAACTGACCGAAACGGAGCAAATCAGATTTAAACGCACCTTAGGTGAGGTTTGCCTTTTCCTATAATACATGGTGCTGCATTTACATTAGCATAGCATATATAAGCACTCACTTGGTCTTCTATCAGATAACACCAGGAAGCAGATAGCGGCCGGTAGGGGTTAATTCCGCAAGACGCTCCTGGTGTATCTACATCAGAGCTGGGATTGGCATATGCAGCTGTACATCTGTCGATTGATTATTATAATAGAGCTAGGGAAACTAACCCAAGCAAACAGTATACGGGTCCAAATCTAGAGCCCTTATTTATACTTTCACAAAGAGAGTGCTAGACTGCAGAGGCTTCTGCACTGTGTGTGTTATATCCTATCAGCTCTGTCACTGGAATGTGTATGATTCTTGTGTGAGCAACTGCAGCCAAAACCTTTTCTCTTTTTTTGTACAGAGGGCTGAAGGGTTAGACCAGGGGTCGGCAACCTTGGCACTCCAGCTTGTGAAACTACAATTCCATCATAGCTCAGACACTGGCAGTCATGCCTGTAAGTCTTACAATGCCTCATGGGACTTGTAGTTCCACAACAATTGGTTTGCTGAGGTTGCCTACCCCTTTGTTAGACCCTCATTGTTTCTTTTTATTGGTCTAGGTAAGTCCATCAAGGAGATTTTCCATCACTTCCCCTATCACCAGGAGAGGGAGTGAATGCTTATATCTTAACTGCTTTTACTTAGCAGAGTAGATACGGTTAGAATATCTTTCAGTTTCTTATTACTGTACATGCACCCTCTCATTTCCTGTTCTTGTGTTGCCTGAACAGGAGGTAAAATGAAATCTCCCCACAGACGACACTAAGCAATTCAACATTTAAGAGAATTATTTTTCTCAACAAAGTCTCCCCCTCCAAAAAAAAAAAGAAGAAAATGGCAGGGGATGTGTTTCAAAAAGCAGTGCATAGTTAGTTGTCATACAAGATGTTGTGTATTATTCTCATAATAAGCTAACAGAAACTTGTGATACATCCCATGTGACATTTTACTTTTTAAAGCATGTTGAGGGTGATTTCAGGATATAGTCTTCCCTCTAAGTGAAATAGTGTTAGTTGGTTAGACTGCAACACAGTCATGGTTTAGATGTTGTCAGACAGCTCCCCCTAGTGTTCAATGTTAGTAACCACATGAGCATTAGTGATGCTATCTATCTATCTACACTTTAATTGTGGTCATTTAACTGCTCTGTTTGGGCTTTGAGAAAGAAACATACCCAATACTTCTGGGAATGGGAGAGCGTGTAACTCTTCTTCTTCCATCTTGATCGCTCCCTTGGAGCTTACACAGGGCTAACTCTCTTCTTCAGTCCTGGCAGATGAACAAAGTGGTGTAGGGAAAGCAAAGGTAAGTATAAACTGCGAGGGCCGCTGTTAAAGTGAACCTGTTGCTTTGCCCTACATGGGCAGCCTTCCCTTACAGGACTCCATGGAGGCTGCCATTGCTGAGTTCTCAATCTGCAAATGCAGACCCTCTTGCTTCAATACTTTGCGTGAGTAACCCACGTTAAGAAAGCAGATGCACAGCTGTGCGTTTACTCTCACTTTCCTGACATGCATACTTTTTCTAGGTTAGGGACTCGGAAAGCATTAAAAGCAGAGAGTAGGAATAACAAGTCAATTAGCATTCTTGGAATCAGGATAACAGTATCCACCTCATATTTCTCCTGGAAAACTGAGATTTCTATTGTTAAAGTAAAAGGGGTGAGGTTTCATGGACTGATGGGAGGGGGGTAGAACCTTCAAAACAGAGATCCTACCATTAAGCAAGAATTATTATTTTCCACCGCCGTGTATTCCAGGCACTGCTGTCACTCAGCGTTGGTGTCTTTGGGTGGACCAGAGAAAGATCAGCATAGAGCTGCTGTCTGATCTCCTCTCTGATAACCTTCATCTGGAAGTGATAACAATTGTGTCACTTCCAGGTTCAGGCTGTCATTTCTCTGGCTACTGTGGCAAGAGAAGAAGCTGGGTGACGCATGATCTGTGCTTTAGTGGGGTCTATAGGTGACAATATGGGTCTAATAGCCTCCTAATGTCTCAATAAAGAGGGCCTGTCACTTCCATTAGGCTATGACATAGGGGACTTGTTAGCCCTTTATCTCAGATCAGAAAAGTTAAGTTTAGAAATGAAAGTGCCTCTGCCCCATGTACACGTACATACAAATTCAAACTTGCATCCAGTGTTCCTTTGTGCGAAAACAACAAATGCACCACAGATCTTGCATATCACCTTGATCGATGGAGCGCAAGCACTAATTCCAGGGCCATCACTCACTGTATTGATGAGCAGTAAAGGCTTTTAAAGCATCACCTATGGGCAATTTTGGGTACCGTAGAATATTTGCATTTCATAAGCATGTGGAATTTTGTATGTCTATTTATCTGGCACAACCCCACTTTTTATATTTTACCATAAAACTGGGTATTCTATTGTGTTTGTGTGCACTAACATGCATTTTAGTGTATCTTTCCCTAAAAATATACATATGATGAACATTTGCAGAAAAATTTGCAACCATCATTTTTTGATTATACAGGACCTCTGCTTTCAGAAAACATAGTTTTGGGGGGTTTTAAACAGTTTTCTAACCAAAAAGTTTGATTTTAACATGTGTGGGCAAAAATGTAAAAATCACTTTGGTCCTGAAATGGTTAAACAAATATTGTGTATTGGTCCCTTGTAGTCCACAAAGCAGGCTTTTGATTCTAGTGGTTCATAGATCCTATTATTAACAGGCCCAAGAAGCCATGTGTCTAATACCAAATTATTTGTATCTGGGAAGTGACCCTTTTAGCTTTGATCTGCGCCATTTTCTGATTGGCTAATATGCACTGCACATATGCAATTTTCACATAAATAACATCCAACTGGCCTCTATTAGATATCGACAGCTGATGATCGTGATAGCGTGTGAACAAGCCATAAGCTGCCCTGAGAAGGGCGTCCTCGTGTTTCCATTCAGCTGCAGCAGCATGGAAAAAGCACGAGCTGAAGGGAAAGGAGACGGAAGGGAGATGCACAAAGCAGACAAATATGATGTGCAGAGGAAAGATTGATAGAAGGAGAGTGTGTTGGCTGAAAGTGTAAGCAGTGACACACCAACTTCCCAGGGACTGTCTGGCATTCCCAGCTCTGGGCCAAAGACTGCGCAGATATTTCTCCTTGTCTTTCAGTGACCGCCCTGAGTCAAGGACAGACTGAACCTCTGGCGACATATCAACAACAGCCAGGATACACCTGCCCCAGCCTCCTCCAGCCATAACACTACATAGGGGAAGGCAGGGAACGACCACAGGAGTGACACGGAACCTAACCAGGGAACACCAGTAGAGGGGAATGCTATTCAAAGGAATGCTGGCTTACACAATGTTAGTTTCAGAATAAACAGAGCACATGTGCCCAGATTAGCACTTTGTAAAATATTATGTAAAGCCATAAAAAAGTCAGGGACCCCTCTGTATTGGAATTTGTTACCCTGGACATGTTCTTTTTAATCCTTGGCTCTTACCTGGAGCACTGGGGACATTTCTGTTCTGTCCCTTGTTACATTCTAGTCTGCCCACCACCAATAGGCAGTATGATCGGTGATATACCAGGGACCCCTCTGTATTGGGGTTTGTTACCCTGGACATGTTCCTTGGCTCTTACTTGGAGCGTTGGTGGCATTCCTGTCTTGTCCCTTGTTACATTCTCCTCTGCCCCCCCAATAGGCAGTAGAATTAGTGCAATACCAGGGATCCCTCTGTATTGGGGTTTGTTGCCCGGGACATGTTCTTCATGATCCTTGGCTCTTACTTGGAGTGTTGGTGGCATTCCTGTCTTGTCCCTTGTTACATTCTCCTCTGCCCCCCCAATAGGCAGTATGATTAGTGCTATGTCAGGG